ATCCAGCAAGCGAACTTCTACAGCTTCGTCTGAACGCTGCAATAGCGCGTACGTATCCAGCAGCTAAGTTAAGATTGCTGTTCTCAAGCACTCCACTTCTTCGCCTTGAAAGCAAGGATAGACTGCCGTTCCAGACCACATCAAAAAGTATTTACAATTTTACATGCTCCTGTGTGGCAGGTTACATTGGTCAAACGATTATGCGTCTATCCAAACGCATGCGAGAACACCACCCTGCGTGGCTAAACAGAGGCAAAGGTAAGTCGATATCAAGCGCAATTCTAGCTCACTTGGTAGACAGCGGTCATCGGATAGACGCCAACCAAGCATTTAGATTCGTCCATAAAGTTCTAGTTAAAAACTCTAAGTTCCTGTGCCAGCGGATACTTGGGACGGCAGAAGCAGTCGCCATATGCCTCACAAACCCACGTTTATGTGCGCAGAAAGCATTTGTAGCGGTCCTAAGGCTCCCGTGGCCAAAGGTCATTTCAACATCCGCCCTCATGTCTCTTACTACTCCGAGAAACAGTGGTGAGACTGCGGCATCAAGCTTACAAAGGCCCTCGACACCGTCTCAAGACGTCGACACCTTGCGTCCTCACACATCCCAACAAAACTCGAGACGAGGACCACGGGACGACATTAACTAATTGTCGGACTTCTTTCCCTTTCCGTTCCCCCCCTCTCCCCCACCTCCATTTCCCTAGTCCCCAATTAAGACTAGAATCTGATTCACTTGATTCCTTTACACCTCTCTCGCCCCTCTTCCCCCTTGTTACTACTGATTGGTTTGCATAAAACGTTCGTTAACTCTACCCTCCCTGATCGTACTGCATTGCCTGATGATGAATTAATCGAAAACGTTCGTTTGCCTAACTTGACATCCAAAATCGATGCACATTACCCATTTCGAAATGATTAACGACAGCATCTTAAAGTTGAAACAGAAGGTATGATTAGATATGACATTCGCGAAAATACATGCAAATTGTTATTGCTGTTCCCATTATTTTTACGCAGTTTACATACGAAGCGTCTTTTAGTATTACATGTTTCCCTTCTTCTATGACAGGGCGACCAGCATGATACATTCTGTCATTGCTGTTGAATGACAGTGGTGCTTTAGTAACAGCACTAAACTGCATAACAACCGTAAAGCACTGTTTGTCGGTGAAATGGACAAAACCCAACGGCTCTTATTTGTTTTAAACAGGAAACTCCCTGAAGCTTCTGGTTAAGGGCATTTTTAAAATGAAGTCCGATGGGATCTCTGATGTTCTCAGTTAAGTTTTCTCCTCTGCGGAATCGAAGATGATCGGTGGAGCCAATGATAAGATGGCCAGACTAAAACTCGAACATAAAACCGAGCCATACAGTTAAATCCAGTCTACCATGCGCTTTGCACAAGACACACGTCGGCTCAAAAGGAGGTAATAGGGCGGATCAAAGAAGCTACACAGTACTGACGGCCGACAGCCGCGGAATTAGGTGGCAATGATAGATCGCCACATTACCGGCGTGGTATACTTTCTTACATTGCCACCGCAAGGCCGAGAAAGTTCCGATCCGGCCCCTACAATCGATCAGGGAGACCGACGAGCATGCTAACGCAGTGTCTGTAACGAACCACACAGCGGACTAGGTTGCTTGAATGTGCCAAGGCCACCTTCGTGCAGATTCCGGAGGAAGATGTTGTAGTCATTAGTTAGTGAAGATCGTCGGTGTTCTTTCCTTATCGCTGACTTCGTCCCCGTTATCGTTATCTCGTCGTGCCCTATGCCCCGTCTCGTCGGCCACTCCACGGCCCCCACCTGCAGTTACCGACAGTACTCCACTCTCAACCGACGTCTACCTGACATGCCGTGACGAAACAAATCCATTGGTACTATATTCTTTTTATATTCCATTTTCCTTTCACTACTTACTCCTTGCTTTACAATAATTGACATTTTATGCAATTGACTTGATTTTATGTTTTACTCCTTTTCGTGTGTGCCTGCGGTGATTACCAAAACTGTCCGATGTTACACCAGAGGATCCGTGTGTGCCAACCCTAAAATCCTCGGTCAAACACCTCAGCCACGAGAAACTCAGGACAAGCGAGGTCCCCATTGGTTGATAGTGGAGAGGCTAAAATCAGCCAGACCACTAGACAAAATAACGCGCATGTGCAGTGCGTATGGTCGTAAAATAAGGCTATTTTTGTGGGGCATTTAGACAAGGAAAGGAACCTGTGCTTAGAGCCCTGTGGTTAGGTCGTTGGACTTCTAACTACCAAGGTCGTGGCTTCTAACTTCGTTAGGGGCGCCAGGATATGGACGCCAAGGAAA